TCCAGGTCCCTCTGGGTGGCATCCCGTCCGTAAGGTGTGTCGACCGCACCACTCAGCTTGGTGTCATCTGCAAACTGGCTGAGGGTGCACTCGGTCCCACTGTCTATGTCATTGATGAAGATATTAAACAGTACCGGTCCCAATACGGACCCTGAGGGACACCACTTGTCACCGACTTCCATCTGGACATTGAGCCGTTGACTACTACCCTCTGGATGCGTCCATCCAACCAATTCCTCACCCTTTTTTTGATACTGAAATGTCAGTTCTTAAATGCTGCAGTCAAAAGTGTCTGTTCCATTTTGTCTAGGTTGGTCTCAGCTGCTTCCAGTGATTGGGTTTTCTATCATCTGTCCATTGTTCCTTGTACTCTTACTCCCGTCTCCTTTTTTTTCTCTCTACCACCTCTTGGGGCAGAGATCTGTTTGTTCACACAGGCTTTTAGTGTGGTGCGTTTTGTTTAATTTTAATGTAAATGCTACTATGTGTTTATTTTGAAATATAAGGTCAAAGTAGCATTCCTTAAACCTGCAGTTGGATTTGGTGATGTGTTTTAGTTTTTGAAGGAGTTTATTTCTTGCCTTAGAGCAACCCTGGGAACAATCTGTCTCCTGTAGAGGAGCATTTCACGTTTAATGTAGTGAGATTGTTGCACCAGGAGCTATCGGTAACGTTTTCAATACTGGTAAATAAAACATCATCTAGGCATGGGTCTAGGTGTTCCCTTTGAAGAAAAGACACAGGACCATGAACTTGACTTGGTGGTCTATGGAAAAACAGTGCAGAGGGCAGGTTACATATGAACGCAGTGACTGTTGTTGCTGAAGGGAACTGTTGCGATGTTCTAAGTAAGTGGAAATTTTGGTCAACTCAAAATTGGCAGATGCATGTCATCTTGTAGAACAGTACACATCTTTCTGACATCAGGACACCTATTACTAACTTAATAGAATGAACTATAAAATTATTAGCATAAACTGTGTATTTGTTAACAAGAGCAAAATTGAGGAAGTTGGATTTTAATACGGGAATCACCGCTGGTCCCTCAAATAACTGTGTGACTGTTTCTGTGCCTGTCTGATTAGGTTTCCCTGTTACATATGTTTCCTGCAGTGATTACAGCACCATCTCATTTATTAATGAAGTGGGAAATATTAATAATTAAAAACTTCCATTAGCTCAGTACACTCATAGCTAAAAAGCTTGCTGGCTGTCCCTTAAGTAGCGTGTCTTAACAGCTTGACCTGTCTCTGTGTAGAAGCCTGAAGGGTAAGTTTATAGAAACTGCTTCAGCCACTGGACTAGAATTTCAGTAGTGGATAAAGTTTTTTGAGAGTGTCTCTTCCTGTCATTCCTCAAGGTTGCCAGTACACAGCTCAACTGGTAGTAGAGGGTGTTGGAGGAAAGGATTTATGCCTCACCAAAGAATTGATTCAGGAGATGAATTGCAACTTTCACGGGCTACCTCCTTATCAAGTGTGCAAATTCCTGTAGTTTTGTCAAATTTGCACTACTTTACATTCTTGCCCAAGATTGTAAGATTGTGAATATGACTTGTTTCCCTCATACTTCAAATACGTATCTGTCTCTTAAAACTAAAGGGCCTATCTCCTGCAAGGGTCACCTCCAGTCTTCACAGCAGAACACTTAGATCTTTTTTCTTGTTAATTCAAATTGCAGAACAGGAAAAATTCCTGTCAACGATGAGGAGCAAACAAACGTGCCGTATATCTATGCTGTTGGAGATATACTGCAGGACAAGCTGGAACTCACACCATTGGCAATCCAGGCAGGAAGATTGTTAGTTCAAAGGCTTTATGCTGGGGCAACCAGTAAGGTAAGGAACCAGTTGCCACAAAACACCGTCATTACTCTACTTCTAAGTGCAGAGTGCATGTCTGCTTGTTTATGGAAAACTCAGTAAACTTTTAAGGATTAGCTTTGATGATCACTTTAATTTTCCCCTTGCAAAGATATTACTGCAGATATGTTCTGCTAATTGTGTAGGATGAAATTAATACCTTATGGATTAAGCAGTAGTCTCTTTTTTTCCTATTAAGAGGTTTTGTTTTTCTCTCAGAGTATAATGATAATAAAATTAACTGAGATCTTTTAAGTTGTTTTTAACTCTACTGCCTTCCCTAAAAGTCAGCAATCATTCCCGTCCCATTAAATGCTTTAACTCTAATTCATAAATAGTTTACTAAACCTACCTATGGTCCCTAATTAGAGTGTAAAGGGGGTTTGTGATGCTCTTCCATGTTTTTTTCCATGTTATTTCCACTAATTTTTTCACTTCTCATCCATATGTTTTCAATGTAATACAAAGTTCTGCTTATAATTGAATATAGACAGAAAGGAAGATCAAATGTACCAATAAGTCAGCACGTACTTATACCTGAGACGTTGAGTTCATCACTTCAGTGTTTACTTCAGTTTCATACTACTGCAACTGTAGGTTTCAGTCAAGTTATGCTAGTCCAAATAGGAGTAACATGGATACTCATTTACACCTTATCTTTAAACCAGGAGGAAGGGAGAGTGCCTTTAAAGGACTGTTACCTGAGCACCACTGATGTGGGTGCTTGTCTCACCTTCATAACCGTAGGGCATAAACATAAAGGTTTTTCTCTTTTAGAGCCTGTTGTATTCATATCAATTTCAGCTGTTGGTCAGATTTAGAGCTTGATTAAGTTGTTTATTTTAGGTTGGCAGGTATTGCAGTAACAGAATCCTGAATCAGTGTGCATAATGTCATTACATCAGCCAGGCAAAGTTTAAGAAAACCGTAGCGGGAGCCAGAGTTTTTTTCTTGCTGCAATACTATGGATATGTCTTAATTTACATTTTATGCCAGATAACTGTCTCTCTAGGTATTAAAATCCTTAGGCTGCCAAAGAAAGCATCATCTCTTTCAGTGAATCCAAGAAAGCAGTAACTACTTAGATGGGATCCTGGCTTACATTGCTGTTGTAACAAATCCGGAAGGGATAATTGTGTGAAACATAATGAAGTGTTATGGATAGGTGGGGAAAGAATTGTAAGCAGCATCTTAGTTCATCCCCAGTCACAAAGGAAATTAATTAGGGTTGAAATCTGTAGAAATTAAAATTACTAGAAATTAAATAGAGCTGACCAGCCTGCTAGTCTGCTGTGGCAGAATGACTAATTTGGTGGATAATGGGGAGAGCAGTGGATGTTGTTTACTTTGACTCTAGTAAGGGCTTTCGACACTGTCTCCCATAACATTCTCGTAGACAAACTGATGAAGTACAGTCTAGATAAGTGGACAGTGAGGTGGACTGAAAGTTGGCTGAACTGCCAGGCTTAAAGGGCTGTGACCAGCATTGCAAAGACCAGCTGGAGGCCGGTCACTAGTGGTGCGCCACAGGGTTGGATACTCCGTCCAGTACTGTTTAACATTTTCATTAATGATCTGGATCATGAGACAGAGTGCACCCTCAGCAAGTTTGTAGATGTTACAAAACTGGGGGGAAGTGGCTGATGCACGCAATGGTTGTGCTGTCACTTAGAGGGACCTCGTCAGGCTGGAGAAATGGGCTGACAGGAATCTCACGGAGTTCAGCAAGGAGAAGTGCAAAGTCCTGTGCCTGGGGAGTTGTAACCCCATGCACCAGCACAGGCTGGGGACCCACCAGCTGGAAAGCAGCTATGCAGAGAAAGCCTCAGGGCGGTCCGGAGGACAAGTTGGCCGTGAGCCAGCAATGTACCCTCATGGCAAAGAAGGCCAGTGACATCCAGGGCTGCAGATGCATCCTGGCAGAGCATTGCCAACTGGTGGGGGGAAGTGACCTTTTCCCCTCCACTTGGCTCTGGTGAGACAGGTTTGGATTTTGTGTCCAGTTTTGGGCTCCCCAGTTCAAGAAGAACAGGGCAAGTCCAGCAAAGGGCCATGACTATGATTAAGGGACTGGAGCATCTGGCACATGAGGAGAGGCTGAGACAGCTGGGGATTTTTATACCCTGCAGAAGAGATATCTTTGGGGCTCTTATATCAATGTGTATTTATACCTGATGGTAGAGAGTAAGGAAGGTGGAGCCAGACTCTTTTCAGTGGTATAAAGTGCAAGGATAAGAGGCAATGGATTCAAACTGAAACACAGGAAAATTCCATTTAAACATAAGAAAAAATTTCTTTACAGTAAGGGTGGCCAGGCCCAGAGGTTGCCTAGAGAGGTAACCTCTAGAACACTGTAAAGCTCCAGTAAAGTCGGGTTAGTGTTTGTTTCTCATGGTACATGATTAGGCACACAGTATCAACTCTAGTTCTAGCTGTCCCCCCAAATGGCTGTAGTTCATGTCTTTGGTTCTTTGGCATCGCCTAGGCCACAGTTGATAAAAAAGATGATGGGTTTTGATGGTGGTGTTGTCTTTGCAGCATTCCCAGCTAAAAATAGCATGTTTTGTAGAGACAGTTGAACAGTCTACTTTTTATCTGTTTTAAAAATGTACCAGACCTTTGATCTGGTACATTTTTAAAACAGGGCACTGAATTTTCTCTTCCTTTTAATCTATGCATGTTAATGTTAGTGTGGCTTTAAAGTGTCTTTCTGTTCCTGCTCTAGTTAACGCCTCTGAGAGGGACAACACCAAAACTGTAGTTTAATTTAAAACAAATGTTTTTATTTAAAAAAAAGTAGCTTTCAGAATTCTGAATAGTCCAACTTTTCTTCCTGTCTGAATTTCAGACTGCTGAATTTTTACTCGTTGTGCTGATTTTATTACTGATGATGTGTGGTTTTTTTATTTGTTTTGAATGCCACACAGTGTGACTATGTGAATGTTCCAACCACTGTATTCACTCCTTTGGAGTATGGAGCCTGTGGGTATTCTGAAGAGGCTGCGGTGGAGAAGTTTGGGGAGGAAAACATTGAGGTAAATGCCTTAGTTTCATCTGGATTTTAGGTTCTCAATTTGTAGTTTAAAATAATGTTAAGAGTCAATTAAAACAGCATTCTGTGTTCTGATATAAGGGCAGGAGGTGACTAGGTACATTTTTGTCTTTCTTAGCAGTTCCTAGACATGTTATAAAAATAGCCCTCAATTCTGATAGCTCTAGTTGCAAATATGTTCTATTTTTGGCAAACAGGGCTTGAAGGTGGAATATTTGGTTAAAAAAAAAAGTTTTATTTCTGTCTGCAAATACTTCAGGATAAATTAGAGGTAGTTATGTGTTGGAAGCAATACACTGATTTTAATGTCAAATTGGAGCTTTTTGTAGCTACAGTGTGGCAAATTCCTTGCCGTGGTGATTTTTACTTTATAAAGCCAAATGTTGTTATTATGCTCATTTTTCCTGTTTGTTTTGACTGTGCAAGGAGGTATGTGCTTAATTTTACTCACATGAGTGATCATTTTTCATTCACTGGGATTGCTGGTCAAGAGTGAAATTAGACATATGTAAGCACATATGACTAAGGCTCTTCTTAAAATACTGTACAGACCACGTTACAGAAAGCGTGAGGGGAGGGAGTCCGACAATAAACTGAACTTTTATGTCCCATGAAGATCACCTGAGGAGCCTCATTTGGGGAAATAAGCTGATAAGTGGTGGCTCATAAAGTTGAGAACTTGTATCCCTCTTAGCTTTGTCTTTTATATTTTTTGACTTGGACTGTGGAGAGAAGTAGTAAATATGACTTAAAATGGCAGTGTGTCAAGTACTGTTAACCTGATTACGGGGTTTAAATTCTGTTCTCCCCACAAAGTTTGTATATACACAGTCAAATTTTTGTTGTTGAGTCAAATTCTTGCTGTTACATGTGTAACACTGGACCCTTCTTTGTGGAAAATGCACTTTCCATTTTCAAAACCATTTTTGAAAATATGCATCCAGAAGCATTTGTATTGTGGCTAAGTCCTAATTTAGTTTATTCTGATCTCTCTATAATGTCACCATGTTGGCTTTTGCAAGCTTCAGTAGGATTACTGAGTTGCGTCTGTCATTCAGACCTGTTAAATTTCAGTTTCAGATAGCGATGCTTATAAATGCTTTGTAACCTCATTAATATGGAAAAACATTGAGCTGTCTCTCCTAGTTTGTGAAGGGACATATTTTTACTGGAGTTGTGATCAGTTTAAAACTTCTTCCAAATAGTAATCAATTTGAGGTTAGCTTGTAATGGGAGCTGTTTCGAGTTCTGGCTAGAACTGTGCCTCAAAACACCCTGTCATTTTCTGAAATACGTGCTATACAGGTGGGTGAGCAACCTTGTCTGCAGTTAGGAGTCTGCCCAGTAATATTGTCTAGGGCAGACAGAAGAATGTGATTTTGGTTTTTCTTTTTTTTTAAATGTACTTTCCATTTCGCAGTGATACATAATCTAAGAGAGTGTGCAAAAAGCATGCCCTCATCTCTCCTAAACCCAGGCTCTGAGGCTACTTCTCCCCTTTTTCTGATCTGAGAAATACTTTTGCCTTCATCCCGGGTAGACCCAGAGACAATACAGTCTTCTGTGAGGGAAGCTTGTATTTAGTTTAATGAGAGCATGGTGAACTGCGTCCTGGAAGTGTAATACACTTATGGCTTCTTTTTTTTTCAATTATTGGATGACACTAGTGCTTGTTTTGTAGAGGCTTTCTTCTTTGGC